AGTCTGAGACCATCGTAACCCAACACATACATACACACACACACACACTGTCTCTATACCACACTGTGTGTACAGGTGCTTATCCCCTAAAAATGGATTAACATAGAAGCATCCATTTATCTGATCAAAATGAAAAATTAGGGTCTCCCCTGAATCCCTGGGCAGCAGTGGGGTGTCCCCGCCCCCCATATGCCCTTTTTCTCCTCCTTCATAATTTTTGTGTGTAAAAGAGAAAGAAGTTGTTTTGTTGTAATGAACTAGATAAACAATTCCCCAAATAGATTAAAACTAACTGTAACCTACAAAAACGGGTAGTAATTATATTTTATTAGCTAGCAAAACACCATTTTTTTATTTCAAAGGATAATTCTGTGTAAATCACCTTAATTAGAAGTGTCAGAGGAGCCTGTGAATATCGTACTTAGTAACTAATTTCCTATGTACAGGTTATAATTTAAAACACATGGATCACTTGCCGAGTGGAAATATGCTAGCCATGAAATAATGTGGGGAGTGTCGGGGTTATTACTATGTAAATGTGTAATCATTTCAGACCACTGCAGACTTGCTTAGTGATTAAAGAGAATTCCGAGGTCTCCAAAGATTGTGCTCTCCACAAGAGCCTAGAGCGAGAAACTTTAAAAGGCACCGAAAAGTGTTTGAACTTTAAAGGTCTTGATTTCCCTTTTACCATTTTTAATTTGTCTGCGGTGTTTATGGAATGGAAGGTTTCTCTTTGCTGATGGCCTTTCGATTCTCAGTCCATTGCCAGCTTCTCTTAACAGTTCACTGCCTGGAAGCGCCCAGCCTCCCGCAAAGGAGGACGGCAGCCCAGAGTGCTGCAAAGCCTTTATGGTAGATTATTATTTAGAGGAGCAAAGGAACTGCCAAACTAAATCAAACCCAAGGTCCATCTACTCTGGTAGGCGGCCTCCAACAGAGGCCAGCACGGGGTGCTTCAGGAGAGAGTACAAGAAACCCCACAGCAGGCACATTTGCAACAATGTGTTCCAGAAAAAGTTTTTTCCTAAACCCCAAGAGTTGGAGATTGGCTTACGCCCTGAAGCATGAGAGTTTATGTCCATTCCAAATCTCTCTCTCGCTTCCTCCCTTTATTTTTTCTTTTTAATTTTTAGTATTAAAAGGAGTAATGCAACAGGACTAAATGTGGCCCAAAACGAAGGGTTTCACTTTGAAAAATTACAAAAACTAAGAATAATAGAAACCTTTCCAAGAAATTTAAAGCCAAATCCAGCAAAAATGTAACAAGCCCCCAGTTATCTTTAGGGTTTGAATGTTGGACTTGCAGCTTGCACGGGTTTGAGCCAAAGCCCGGTGAAGTCCCTGAAAGACTGTCCAGTGACTTCAGTGGCCTTTGGGTCAACTGCGTCGAGGGCTGAGTAATTATCAGCCATAGGCTGTTATCTTTTGTGGACTGTCTACGAGAGGGGCACATGCAACACACTGAGCCAGCAGTTACAGAAACAACTGTTTAAAACAAAGATTTATTCCTCCTTCCGCACCCCCATTCAGTAGTGTTTGCAACTCAAAGCTGCAGCCTTGGAGCATGGGAACCAGCAAACGAAACTGGCTAGAAAAAGTGTGAAACTAAGTAATCTTCTTTCCTTGTGAAAGGTGGAAGGCTTTGGAAGAGCCAAACAAGGGTATCATTGGTGAAAAATAAATGAGATTCTCAGTGTTGCTTTTAAGTTGAATCATTTCAAGCACCATTAACAACAGAGGGAATGAAACTTGTTTTTTTAAAATATAATATTTTGCCTAAAAGGGGAAGAAGTTGTTCACACCTGGCAGAATGATTTAAATAAAAAGGTAACACTGAAAAGCAGGAATCAAGCCGATCACATAATATTGCAGGGCCAGATTCAGAGCTGTGGTGAATGGGTGTGACTCCACTAAAGTCAGTGCAATTGTACCTGCTTGCACTGGATTGGAGTTTGCCCTCAATCCTAGAAGATCAGGGCTGGAAGGGACCTCAGGAGGTCATCTAGTCCAACCCCCTGCTCAAAGCAGGGCCAATCTCCAATTTTTGCCCCAGATCCCCCAAAATGGCCCCCTCAGGGATTGAACTCGCAACCCTGGGTTTAGCAGGCCAAGGCTCAAACCACTGAGCTGTCCCTGCCCCCGGCATCAGATCCAAATTCCAAACCTTCTCTGATAGCCGTAGTTTATAACAGCTCTCTTTTCCTTTGCTGGTACCAGAAGGTCACATACATCCCCTGTGCACTGAATGGATCTGGCTACCAGTAGAGCGGAAGCAGGTGTTCCTAGGAGGACTAGTGCGCTTGGGGTACGTAGGTGGACAGGTCTGTGCTGGAGAGGCTCACAGCTGGGGTGCTGCCACTTTTCGTTTATCCTTCCCCTCCCCTCCCCACCCCTTTCCTTCTCTGACTCACACAGGTGGAATCACAGGACCGTCTCCTACACATTAGAGAATGCAAAGCAAAAGGAATCAATGAACAGAGAAAAAAAGGTGAAATCAACTTCACAACTCCTCTGTGAATTCTGCGTTGCTCCAAGGTGCCATATTCACAGCCCTGGAGATTGATGTCCCCTGCCTACCCCATAGGCAGGGCGGGTACAGCACAGACAGTACCCCACACTGTCCTGCCTCTGTCCCCCCCACACACCCCTTCCCTATTTCCCCCCGGGACACACAGCGTGTGCCTGCGGTGGGGAGTACACACACCATGTTTTTGCTGGAGACAAAGTATGCCTCGGTAAGCAATGTTCTGAGCTTCATCCCCAGTAACTGGCTTGTGCCAAGGGGAAATCTGCTGGGTCTGATTGGGAAGGGACCCCCCCACACACACACCACACCAGATTGTGGAGTGACAGCAGTGCCTGCAGTAGCTACCGTGTGGTTGCAAATCTGTCAGCGCCAGCCTCCCCCTAACCCAACCCTCTGGCGACCCACGGAGCTGTGCTCCAGGACGTGCATGGGCTGCAGAACCCTTGCGTGGGCTCCCCCTACATTTCACCCTGTGCCGCAAAACTGCATCTGTTCTGCCCAGGGCGTGGGTAGAATATGTCCCAGCGCAGCTGGGTGGTCCGGACCCTCTGCTGCTGAAATCTCTGCAGGAGAGAACAGCGAGAAACAGCTTCCAACCCGTCCCCCTGTTCAGCTGCCTGGGGCCACTGCAGTCAGAGCTGGCATGGTCAGGGCTGTGCTGTGAAAGGGGTTCTGGAAGGCAAAGCACCCCCATTACCAGTCCTTGCCACAATCCAGAGCCCTGGAGAGGGATAGATGGGAGGGAGACAATGACTGAGACGCTCATCCATGTTCACGTCCATCAAAGAGCCCAAGTAACTGCAGCTGTTTGGCTAAGAATCATGTTTTAAAAGTGCCTCGTTAACTTCTGTGCATTGGGGATGGGAAATGGAGAGGCAGCAAAGCCTTGATCTCTTGCACTTTGGTGACCCGATCATGACAAATAATTCCTTATCTCACCCCTTCTGAGGCCCACAGAGGGGTACGGGCGGGTGTGGTGGGGTTGTGGAGGTTTGTAGCCTGAGGAGGAAACACCTTCCTCCATCCCTTCTCATTTCATAACACCCAGCCATCTGCCAAATCAAGGCAGATTAAAGCCGGCCAAATTCAATTTCTCCCCACTGCCACTGCAGCGCAGCATCTGGGGCTAAAGTGTCCCCGACAAAGCGAACATGACAGCCACATTGCTTTTTTGTCACATCTAGTACCATGTTGATCTTCTGAAAGTCTCATAAAAACGTATTGATGTCTCCCATATTGCTGTGATTGGGAAGAAAGGAGAGTGTGTGTGCGGGCCTGCCTATGCGCGCGCGTGTCTGTATGCGCGTGTATATTAATGTTTCTGAAGTAGATCTGATTTGATATGTCTTGTTCTATTGTCAGCAGCTGTTTAGCGAGGCTTTTTAATACTTTCTGGCTGCCGATCACTCATCCTTAGCCTGGAATGCAGGCTTGCATACAAATTTTGTTATTAAACACAATTCCATTCCCCCCACCCCCAACCTCCGCCTCCACCCGCTAACCTCCTCCCTCCACCCACCCACCCATCCATCCATCCATCATCTCCCCGGGGCTATGGAGAGGTGGGAGCCAGCCGCCCCGCCACAATGTACTTACAAGTGCAGGCATCGGGTTGGCAACATATTTCAAGATCCTTTTGCCTGCTGCAGGTGCTTTGCATTGACAAATCGAATCATGGGGAAATAATTTATTTCCTAATGCTGTTTGCAGCGTGTTAGCGGGAGAATTTACATGAGAGAGATTACTTTAATAACCAAAAAATTACAGTGCGGGCCTCCCCACCATGTCGGCTTTGATATGTAATTGTTTCAAGTTTAACCTGTCTGGAGGGGGGAAGTGTTATTAAATCTGCAGCATCTCACACCAGGGAGGAGCAGGCGGGGAGGAGGGCCCTGACAGCGATCTCATTCCCCGCTGAGAGGGAGCCGCTAAATGGGAAACAAGCGGAATTAACAAATGACTCCAGCCAGTGGCAGGACTGCCGCCTCCTCGGCACTGGTTGGAAGAGGGAGAGTTTTCTACGTCTCCTTGTTAGCGGTTAATCTCGCTCGCTTTCTCTTGGTCTGCTCTCCCTCGAGCCCACTCCCGCGTGGCGCTGAGCACCCTCAGTTCCTTTCAGAAGGCAATGGGCACCTCGCATGATCGGGCCCCTCGGCGCTGTGGCAGCGGTGACAGAGAGAGGTGGGCAGCAGCAGCAGGGGGGAGGAATGGCTTTCACTTTGCAAAATCTCATCAGCTGGATTTGGGTTTTGCGAAGCCAGGACTGGCTCCACTCTAGGCCCCATTTGATCCAAACCCTTCCAGTTTGGGAGCGTTTGGTTAAACTGCCCCATCTCGGATCAGAACCAGGATCCCTGTCCCCTGGTATTTAACCTCCTTTAGTTCCCCTGCACAACCCCACTCCCTACCCCTGTCCCTTGCTGTCATGCGGTGGCCAGGACGCTCACTCTCTTCTTTTCTCTCTTGGCAGTAAGAACTCCATACTGAAGGATTCCATGGCACCTGGCACCCCCAAGGTAAGTGAGGAAAAGCGTCATCTGTTGTCAAGCTCCCTGAAAGTGACCTGATTCACACTGGCTCCCCCTCACATACACATGTCACTCCCCATCCCACGTGGTGAGGTTCACACGCCAGTCCCCAGGATACTGGGTGTCTCTTGAGTGGGGTCGTCTGTTGTGACGCTCCCCCAGAGGTGAAATGCTGTTTAGTTTCTGGGCTCATTTTCAAGCATCAGTCTAACCGGGGGAGCAGGGGGGCAGCTGCTCCTACTTGGCCAGCTGCCAGGAGATTGCCTGCTGCTCCGGAGTGGCTGGTTCCCAGCACAAGCTGGGCCACTCCTCTTTGCGTCAGTGGGACCATGCAGCCGAAGAGCAGACAGGTCACCAGGACCCCACGTTCTGTCTCGTGACAGCATGATTGTGCTCCCTGAGCTCACAGCACAGAGCCATGCGCTGGAGTTAGTGGCTGTAAAGCTGGGAGTCAGAACATCCTGGGGAAATGAAAGAGACCAGGAAGAAGAGCCACCACTCCATGTTGAAATGGTGCCAAGATACTGCAGACTCCTTCCTCCTTCCCTCCCTTGGCAGTGACCTGCCCCCCCGGCCCAGCACAGAGTTCTGAGAGCCACGTCTATCACCCACGAAATGCTGCAGCAGCATCTCTGTTACTGTTATTGCTCCAGGGAAGAGGGCCCAACAAGTCCCTAGACAGATGGCTACATCTCCAGGAAATCTGCAGGAGCCACTCTGCAGTGCTCTTCCCCTTTTAATAGATTAGGAAACGGAGGCAAAGGGAAGTCTAGTGACTTGCCCAAGGTCACAGAGATTAAGGGGCGGGGCAGGGGCAGATCCGACTGCCAGGCTGCCAAGCTCAATCCACTAGGCAGCGGAGGCTCCATTGTGCAGTTGGACAATTCAGCAAGATTGGAACCCAGAGCTGAAAAGGTCTTTGTTGGGTTTTAGCCGTGCCCGGTGCACTGTTCAACATTTAAATACACTTGTTTCTGTGTAATCGGGTAAGACAATCACATTGAACAGGGTGTCGGAGCCCCTGGGCCCGACTTTGTCATTAACCAGCACTGTGACATTAAGGAGTCATTTCTCTTCTCTGCCACTTCAGTTTACCCATCACACACCCACACGAGATGTTACCTTCCAGCTCCTCCAACAATTTCCCAAGACCTCCAGGAAAAGAGATCATAATACTACTTAGTAGCTTAATAGCACTTCGCATCTTCAAAACACATTCCTCCAGTAGAAGTTACTGAATCTCACAGGCCTGTGTCACAGCCCGCATTTTACACGTGGGACAATTGATGAACAGGGAGGGTAAGTGACTTGCCTGAGGTCAAAAGTAAGTCAGTGACACAGCCAGGACTAGAACTCAGGAGTTCCTAGCTTGCGTGTTGAGAGTGAGACATGGCTGTCGCAGCATCTCTCAGCTAAGTCAGGTCCTGATATTTCTGATGTGAAAAACAAGCATTGAAAAATCCCCAAGGTGTGTTTGAAAACCAAGAATCTTTGAGGCTGCCTTTTGACATCACAAAGGAGCAGGTGAAATAAAAGGACCTGTGCGTTGCAGGGTCCCCTCTCACAGGTCATCAAGTCTGAATGCTGATAACTCAGCCATCCCCACTGCAGAGTCCAAGATGGAGAGGGAGGGCTAGAGAGACAGATTAGCTGTTTGGAGGTAAATACACCGAGTCAGTGACAGACACCAGATAAAGAAGAAGGGTCCATCTCTCGGCAGGGCTGGGCTTTTGAAGTTTCTATTGACAAAGAATCCCATTTGCCTTGAGAGAGGGGATTAAACTGGGACTGGAGAGTCATTCTATGTAAAAGAGATCAGTCACCTCCTGTCACCACATGGATCTTTTCCCTTTGCCCCTCACGTCCAGGCCTAAGAACATTAACTTCAAGAAGCCTTGGGAGTGGGGGGAGAGAGGGTGAAATCCGGAAATCTTTCATTCCCCTCTCAGAAAGCCTGAAAGCTCCTTGGCCCTGGAGGATTCATTATTTCTAGGTGGCTTTTGCTGGGAGACAAGTCTTGTGTGGGGTGGAAAGGCACAGCGCTCTCGGCTTCATGTTAGCTTGGTATTAAAGGCCCCTTTGTAATGGTGCTGGAGTGGAGCAGGAGGCGGTTCGGGGATGAAGCGGCTCCATCTCTTTGTGGCTGGCTAAGTTATTGTTTTCCTGGCCCAGTGCACCCTGTCAGACCACGACGTGCATGCCGCAGAAGCGCAGTCTGACACACCTGTGTTGCAGGGAATAAGGTCAGCGGGCCAGGTCCAAGCTGTGAGGAGCACTGTGCAACGTAACAGGATCACAGCCCGGGGGGGGCAGTGCCAGGCCTTTTCGAAGTGTCCGCACTCGGGCGTATGATGATCCAATAACACAGAGATGAGGGATGGATTCAATGTTAGTCTGACTCACTTAGCAACAATCTTCCCCCTTGGCCAGAAATCTTGGATGTATGTCCTGCCGTGGGCTCCTATGCCGTGCTGGGGCCTGGCTGGGGGCTGTTACAGCAATGGAGGGGCCAGGCTTGGAATGAGATGGTAAACCAGGGTCCCCTCTGCTGTGCACATTTAATAATGTGTAGGAAATATAACCCCGGTGTCCTGGCTGCCGGTCACTTTCTCCATAAAAGAGGGTCTCACCCAAGGCCATGTATGAGCTATTGGTGGACATGGATTGGATGTGCATTACTTACACAGTGATTGGCATCAGACCTGCAGCTTCGGAAAGTGCTGTGGGATCTCTGAGTAGACCGTCGAGAACCAGAGTTGATTCTCTCCTGTCCTGAGGCAGGTGGGGCAGGGACCGACCTGTCATGACTGGTGGGGGTGTGTTGTTTTAACTCCAGACCTTCTCCAAGAGTCTGTTGTTTATTCAGAACTCTTTTGTGTGCTTCCTTCTCACCCTGCACTCCCCCAGAATTGCCCCACTCCCCCGGCAAAGACTTAGCCTGGAAATAAAATCCCTGATGTAAACACGTGTTTTCATTCACTGGCTCCCTGCCCCTTAAGAGCTGTCACTCACCGCACTGGGTCAATTTTCATGGCAACATGTCAAAGAAAATCCAATCACTCAACATGGTATGTGATGAATCCAAGATTATTATATCGGATTCTTCTATTATTGGAGCTGGCAGAGACAGTGACGGCCGGGCTAGGGCTCCGAGAGCAGGGCTGCAGGCAGCAAATTCACTCTCCCTCCCCACCATTCAGCTGCAGCAAAGGGCAGTGTTGAGAACCAGATTGTTCTTCGCAGCTCACATTCCCTGTTTTCCTTCTATGAGAGACCAGGCTGGTCTATCAGCAAGTGCTGCCCTGTAGGTAACCGCCTGGACAAGCGACTGGGGGGCAGTTTTCTACCAAGCCTGTGGCTGCTGCTCAGACTAGACCAGCAGGTGAGGGGAGGGGGGCTTGACAGTAGCAGCTGCTGCTGCTTAGCCTCTGGCGGTGGCGGCTCCTTCAGCGGAGCCCCAAACAGCTGTTTCTGTTTCAGAGCGGATCTTCCCTGACACATGCCTACAGGCTCCAAGCCTATAGGAGCTCTTCACTGTCCTGGTCTCCTCCTTTCTGCTCCCAGGCGCTGTTCCTGGTCCTGAATCGATGCCGTTTCGGCCCCTGCTGGCCTTGGTTCTGCTGCTCTCCCTCAAGCCCACCCTGCCCGTGATGTCCCTTGATGTCTTGTTCCCAGAGCTCTCAGCGCTCTCAGATGGAGCCACCTGCTGAGTCTGTCTGGGCCAGGAAAAGGACTTGCTGATGCTGGGCTGCCTTGTAAGTCTCCTCTGCAGGCAGATATGAAGCCCCCTCCGCCCCTCATCTGCTCTGCATCTGAGGACAGATCTTCCTCAGGAGCAGGGGGCTTTGAGGTGTCCCCCAGCGACCCCACACCCTGACTCCCTGGTGACACAGCAGCACGAGGTCATAGGTTCTTACCAGGTTTCTCCTCCCGAGGGGCAGTTTTTCTGGGTGAGTTGTCCCAAGAAAAGGGAGGAGAGTTTGGCTGGAGGAAACGTCTTTGAAGAGGGGATATTGCAGCGGTGGGGGAACGGACCCATTGGACCCAGAGGAAGGGAGAGAGGTGGTTCTCACTGGCCCCGTGTTAGAGGCCAGAACGTTTCAGGGTGCTGCTCCGGCTCCACAGGCCTAGGAATTTGTGCTCTTAGCCCCATCCCTTTGCTGGAGGCGACTGGTGGCCCTTTCCTCCCACCAGTCCTGGGGCAACACTGCCGGCCTCAGAGGAAGCAGCTGACCCTCCTGACCATGAGGAGCACAGCGTCCTTTATGAGGGAGGAGGGAGCGGGGGGGGGGGGAAGGTGACACAGAGAAGGAGCAGGAGGAGGAAGGCCCTTCATAGTCTCTATGGGGACTAGCTTCTGTGCAGCTTGGTTGCTTAGCACCCATCCCAATGGGGCGCCGATGGAGCTTCCTAGCACTACCCTAATAGAAATGGTAATTAGGCTAATAACAGGCAAAATATACTCTGGGTCCGCCGGCATGTGTGCCCCATTAGCTGCTTCCTCACCTGTGCCCCCCGGATTCGGTGCTGCTCCCTTTTCCAAGTGCTGCCTTGAGCAACGAGAAAGTAGATACTGAGCCCCCGAAGTCCACATGCATGTGAGCTGTGGATGGGCTGGTTTTCAGCCAATAATCGACTAGTTGCTCCTTTTGATCACAAATTGCCTTCACATAGATTACGATTCTCTTGATTTGTGTTCCTGATTTTTGACCTTTTCCCCCATTTGTAATTCTCCAGTGAATCCTCTCTGTGACTAGTTCCTTCCTGGGGAAGGGATTGTCCGTGGGCAGTTCGCTCTGAGTATTTGATATCCAAAACTCAACTCTGTGTTTGTTAGTTTTTATTGGGAACATAAGTCACACGGTATTACTGCTGTTCCTTGTTTGGATGAGCGTAACTCTGTGGACCAGGTTGCTGATGTGAGTCCCGATGAAAGAACTGCTTTTTACACAATGCATATTTCACCTATGGAACTCACTGCCACAGGA